TGCTTTGTTTAACCCTCCAATCTCTTCCTAAGCAATGGGCTTTGAAGAGAGTTGATTTCCTGATTGGGAAGGTCTGGCAACTACAGTAGAGTAACTGGTGGTATATATGGACTCTTGCACAAGCACCACAGTGTGGAGACCACAAGTAAGTGGCCTGGTGCGGTGGGTGCGGTGCTTCCACGCCATCTGGAAAGCAACTCCTTGGATGCCAAAGTTGGAACCTCCTCAGGGCACAAGAGCTGCTACTTCATGGTTCTGAGAAACGGGATTCCGTCAGTCCTACTCCCAGGGAAGCAGTGGTGGGCCCACATTAGCCTGTACACTCCCCACCCATACAACTGCCAACTTTTCAACTCCTGCTGCCCACACATTCAGGTTCCATGTGTCCAGTTCACTAGCTTTCCGGTTCCACCCATTAGGCACACTTTCCCAGGAAGGCCAGCCATGCCGCCTTCTAACCCTCGAGCCCTCTTTTCAAGGACCCAGACCTGGCTTCCTCCTGCTACAGTAAACCCATATCCTTATCCCTGCCCCGGAGAACCCAAGAGCCCCGACTCCCGGACTGCCCCCATAAATTCCTCCCACCTAACACAGTTAATTCTCCCCCCGCCCCGAGAGCTGGAAGGTGCGTATGCGGGGGCTGCCCAAGCAAGGGCCTGAGAACGGTAGCACAGACTCCCTCTGCCCGCTTGTAATCGGAGAGGAGACCGTCTTTCCTGCCTCCCCACAATATCATCATTTTGGAAGACATTCTCAAGTTTGTTTGTTTCGTTTCGCTCCCTCGTTGGGGCCTGTGGAGGGGAGGGGCCAGTGTGGCCAGTCCGACGAGACGACACAAGACAAGAGCCCTTTTCTTTAAAAAGAAAGAAAGAAAACAAGATGGCTGCTCAACCAGCAGCACACAGGTGTGGTGTTGGCAGCACATGTCATTAGCCACACAGTGAGGGGGTGGGGGGTCACCACCACGTGGCACTACAATGCGGCATCGGTGGCTGCCAGGTGCAGAGGGGTGGGTGACGGCCACGTGCCTGGAGCTGGAGCAGAGCGAGGCCACGCGGTGTGGAGCGGTGGCTTTGGAGGCACAGTAGGAACAGCCACGCGGCACATCGGGACGTGGCAACAAAGAGGCGCCACAGAAGGTGTTGGTGGGCAGGACGAGAGTGATGTCATGGCAAGAGGCATCCTGGAGAGGGGAGCCCACGAAGTCTCGGGGCGTTGCAGCAGGGCACTGCAAGGGTTAACCCAGCTATGCAAATTGAGCAAACATGCAGGACTCTGCTCAAAACATCCAGTGGCCCGCTTGTCCGACATCACCTGGCGAAGGCTGCTTCATGAGGACAAGATCCCCACGCCCCTCACTTCGGCTTAGGCTTCCTGCTGCTTTTGTTACGCCTTGTGGCTAGCCCCTCTCTCATCCAAGTGGCCCCTGACCCCTTTCCTCAGCCCTCTACAGGCCATTCCCACTGGCTGCCTCTGCTCTCGCCAGTGACTTCTGCGTCTGCCTAACAGACGTGCTTGAGGCTTCTGGAATACAGACCCTGTGCCCATCTCTGAGGCTGCAGGCAGCTACGTACATCCCTCTCAAAAAGACATGGCCCATGTAGATTTCTCAGTCTTGTATTATCACAAGCTAGGCTGGGGACAAGAAAGCGCTCGCTAGGAGAGCCCAGTAGCCATGGCCACTTGGAGCCTCGACTTCAGCTTTTCAGAATTGTCCCCACCTGCTTTTCCCAACCACGAGGGCTAGAAATTCACCTTGTTTTAATAAAAGCAAAGCTGAAACTTTTTAAGGTTCTGTGAATTATCCTGGCTCCCCACGTAAACATTTATTTGCCTGGGGCCTACCATCAGTTTTTTTTTTCTTTTCATTTTTTTCTTTTTTCTTTTTTTTTGCATGCCTGGGTTAATCGTGTGGTCATGAAGGGAAAGGGTACATTGCTGGCCTTGACAGGAGTCAGATGTGCAAGGTTACCCAACATCAGGGAGCATGGGCACATGTGTGATGGGAGCCACGTAATACACGGACGTGGCGTGGCTCAGAAAGCAGCGTGCTACGCCACATGATTAACGGTCGTGGGAAGGAGGGGAGGACTTAGCTGTATGGCACAGAACTACGGTTTCGGAGGGGCGAGAGCTGGGATCAGCCACCTGGCACATTCGTGGTGGGGTGGTGGTGGCCAGCCGTAGATCTAACAAGTCACAGCAACAGGTGAAGTGGTAAGAAGGGGCCAGCCACAAGCCCGACAGTCACAGATAGGAGTCTTCACACTTCCCCACAGCTCATAATCCCTGACGTGGAGATGGGGAGGGGGAGTCAAGGGGTTCTCCCCCCCTTTCCCCTCCTGTTGGATGGAGCATTACACTGAGGATCCCAGCAATGGGCAGCAGCAAGAGCCCCCCTCCCTAGCTCGTGTCCTGGGGAGGGGGGAAAGCAGTCTGTGCACTGGGTCCTGGTGTCCACATGGCTGCGATGGGGAGGACAAGTTATGGAGCACCCCCTCGGTATGCTGGGCTCTCGTTTCTTTGGCAGCTGAGCATTGGGGAAAAATGGAGGTGCCCCATCCACAGCACAGATATGGTCAGTATCCAAGACCCCTCTCCCCTGGGATTGTGGGTAGTAGGAGCAAGGGATGATGGAGACAGCTGGAGAGACCCACAAGTGGGAGCACCTGCCCACATCCAATTGACTGCCCCCGTTCTTCCCTGCTCCAGCCCCTCAGCGTCTCCAGAGCTGGAGTGCCTGGTTGCCACAGATACCCCTCTGGCAGAAGAACACAGAGACAAATCCCTCCCTAAACTTCTCAGGGAGAAATGTTCATATGGAGATCTCCCCATTCTGGAAGTTGAAAAATAAATGCATGATGCATGTGCAAAATGTAGATGGGCAGCATTAAGCTTCTGAAATGAGGACGAGATGAAGTCAGCTGCTGAACCCGAGTACACGAGGCGTGAGCAGCAGTGGTGCAGCACGGATGCACCTGTGGATTAAACTGCAGCTTTTGGGACCTTCTTGTATCCAAGGTTGTAGCAGGCATGGATGGCTGGCAGAGCTCACCTGCTTTCACAGCACTGGTGTGAATCCCGCGCACAGTCTGAGCTCATTCATCTGGGGTGACCCATGAGATGCAGCCGCTTTTCAAGGCTAACAGCATCAGGTTTCTCATGGTGCACTTCTAGCAGCAGACTGGGAATTAACTATTCGTGTGGTCACCTATGGGAACTGAGCATCACTTCCTGGTGATCTGTGAGATGATTCCATGAAGGACTAAGCAGAGTAGATGAATCAATCCTTTCCCTTGATACACGTGACTGTACCAAGGTCACAATTTCAGATCCTGCTTATCCATGCACAAACACCACCATCTTTGCAGCCAAGAGGCTGTACTGGCGGCGGCAGCCACCTTCCCAAACAGGTAGGAATCCTGTATGAGCCAACCCACCCTCCTCTGTCCAAATGCATGCTCCAGCCACTTGCCAGCACTACAAGCCCCATTCACCTGAGCCACACCGCCTAATGGCCCAGACGCAGAGAGCAGGTATGCCCTGGAAAGGGGCCTGCAGAACCAAAGGGTGGATCCTGTTGATCTGGTGCAGGCTGACCAGATTACGGAGACCCAGTAAAATGAGGCATTCTGTGGTCAACACCAGCAGCACAAATATGTTGAGTGCAAAATCTGAAACAGCCAGGCCCATTTATACGGCCGATTTGCTTTCAGGTAAGAGCTTCCATTGTCCAATCATCCTACCCCATCCACAAATTTTTATGGGTGGCCCATCTTCCTTTTGTAACCCACTGGCGTTTTTGGGCATCGATGACCTTTCTTCCCTTTTAACCAACCAGAAAACCTGTTGAAATGGAGTGGCTACAGAATGCCTATTTGTTTGGTTACTGTAAGGAGTTGTCGGTCTGGTAGCACCACCTCTCTGTTCACCATTCTGAATCTGTGCCAATGGCCACAGGGGCTCTTTTCCTGACGAGCTCAGATCACACAGCATGGCACCAAGCTGCAGTATCAGCACGTGGCCAATGCTCGCTGGTGGGGGGAAATATTCTGTGTCCACCCCCAATTTAGGCTGCTGGCTCTTAGTGCTTGTGGCCTTTGGACATGCCTGGCCTAGCACAGTACTGCAGCCACTGTGAACAGCACCCCCCTCCCGCCTTGGTAGCAAGACAAGCTGTTCTGTGGACAGCCCTTATTTGGGAGCTGCATGTGCTGCGTGAGGCAGCTGGACAAGGCCTTTGCCACGGCATGAGCTCATCGCCAGCACTGTAGGTTCCCTGACTTGCTACGTTGTGTAGCCAAAGCTATTTGACCGGCAGGGCACAGTGGAAGCCCACAACATGCTCCGCGCGTCAGCTTGGGCACTCGCATTGCACAAGCATAAGCTCAGCATCAGAGGTGCCGTTCTCTGGACCACTAGCAAGAGCTGCTAGACTGGTGCATATTTGGGACAGAACTCTCTCTGTGAGGACTCCCCAGTTTTGGAAGTGCCTGCCTGGAGAATTATAACCTCATCACTGCTGGCACTACAAACGACTCTAACGACACATTTATTCCTATCTGCATTCAGGACTTAAAAGCCATCGGCTGCTTCAAAGTGTGCATGTGTGTTTTACTATCATTTGCATGTTGATGGTTTTTTAAGTTTTGATGTACTATACGTTGTCTTGTAAGAGCAGTGTGCCCTGCAAGGAGAGTATTTTTAACTAATTATAGAATTCAGTACTGTGTGCAGGGGCCCCTGCATTCTGACAACCTCAGCTTCCATTTAAGAGTGAGCTCTGTTTAAAGAGTGAGCAAGTTTCTAACCTTTATGGATGTGAAAATAAGATTGAATGGCTGTCAGCTGTGTCTAATACACACCCCTAAAAACTGGCCAAATCAAGGAGCTTTCCGATGAGCTGCAGGGCAAGGGCAGAAAGTGAGATTGAGGCCCTCTCCCCAACACTAGCGAAAGCAGAATCAATTCTGTAGAGCAAGCAGATATACGCAAAGCTGTGTCTCTTCCCTCTTTTTAAAGTCCGCAACAATCGTGTTAACCGAGATGATGCATGGGGCAAGCCGTTACATGGTTCGATGAGACGATGTGCCGGCGGCAGCTGCCAAGTCAACACAAGCGGCAACATGGAGGATGGTGCACACGTGCAGGCACGAGCAGGGAGGGCATCAAAGCAAGCAGCAATGCCAGTGGGGGATGACGTGTGAGTATACGTCTACAGATACACACACATATATCGTGTCACCCACATTCAATGTCCATACAGAAGTGGCCGGTGCCACATGTCGGGATGAGCGGAATGGATAAACTGCTACATGGCAACGCAAAGGAGAAAAGTGCACACCCGCGAGGGTGCCCAAGCAGGCTTTGGTGAGCTTCTCCCAGTGTCTCTCTGCCAGGGGGGCATCCCCACCCTACCCGGACCCCACAGGGTCTCTCTTTGCAGCTTCCCTTGTGCCCGGCCCCATAGCTGCAACCCTCCACCTCCGCTGTTCTCCCCAGTGGCGGGGATCCATCGTACATTCAGGTGAGGGGCTTCCCAGGGCAGGGCAGTTCCCCCACATCACCTCTCCAGAAAGAATTTGAGGGCACGGGCGATGTTCATGCGGTGCCCGACTCGTGTCACGCCCAGGTCAATGAAGTCTTCCTTGGTGAGAGAAGGCAGGTGGGAGCCATCGATTTCGTTGTCCAGGAACCGGTCACGGTGCTCCCCCAGCTTCAGGTACTCCAGCCAGTCGGCCACGTCATATTTGGTCCAGAAAGGCAGTGGCTTGGAGCCGAATGCCTTGTCCGTGGCAGGTGGTAGGAAGTGGGTCGGAGACAAGGAGCGGCTGCCTGAAGGGAAGCCAGGGAAAGGGTGCTCACCCCCCGACGTGGGTGAGCCGCGGAGATCGAAAACGCCAGTGTAGAGGGGCACAGAAGGCAGGATAGGAAGGGAAGAAGGCCTCGGGGCAGGGCTAATTTTGTGCTCGCTGGGCAGGGCGGCTGGGCTGGGCGCACGCCGCAGGGCTGGGCGGATGTCAAACTCCACGCTTTTGGGGTGCTTGCTGCCCTGGGGGGACTTCGGCCAGTTGTGGAAAAGGCTGCTTACGGGCTTGGAGGAGATCAGTGATGGGGAGGTCTCATCAGGGAGCCTGTGGGGAAGGAGATGATATAGTTAGCATCTGCAGTGCTTCCTGTCGGAATAGAACTGAACAGGAGCTACTGGAAGAAGTAAATGGTTCCCTACAGTTCTGCCAAGACACGATGTCTTTGCTGGCATACCCTTCACAATCCTTGGCGTCCAGGGGTACATCCTGGTCCGACCACTAGGATTGACTTGTGCAGCTTATGTCTTTTCTTTCTGAATGTCTTTTCTTTGGCAAGAGAAGACATGGAAGCATCAGAGGGAAAACACGACATTGCCTGGACTCTCCCATAAAAGATGCCAAAGATGGGAGGCGTTGGTGCCACAACAAACTTGTCTGCAAACATCCCTGCTTAACTCTACAGATGATGCTTGACTGCATGAACGTGCAGTCGTGTGTGACGCGCAGGCACACAAATGCCCCTCCCCCCCTTTTTGTAAACCCAAAGCAGTTATGGGAAATTGCGACTTAGGTTTTAAGTTACTGGGGGGTGTGCATGCGTTATCTCTTGCCCTCTGGGTTTTTACTATTAAAATCACCCCCACCCATCACCAGGATTTGCCCCATCAGTGGAAAAAAATCCAGTGAGGGCTGGGGAAAATATTCCTATGACAGACGATCTTGACACTCTGGAGTCCTCTGGACAGGGCCTGACACACTTCTACATGAGACACTGAGCTCCCCACAAAACAGAGCCTGATGGACTTGTTGCAGCCACCTGTGGGAACCCAAAGGGTGGCCTTTCCTGACCTAGTTGATTTCTAGACACTTGGGACTATAATGGCCATGCTGGCTGGGGATAATGGGGGTTGTAGTCCAATACATCTGGTGGCCCCAGGCTTGAGAAAGCTAAGGTGTGATGCCGTATCTGTAACAGAAGCCTCCTCCTTGCAGCAGCTCTCTGTACTTCCATGGCTTCCACACGGGCCTCTTGCCAGTGCCGGCCATCATAGTCTGGGGGAACAATACCTCTTTCATGGACTATGAACAAGCCTGCATAAAGCACACCTGTTCCCCAAACAGGCAGGCTTCCCTTAGGAAGGAGGAACTGGCTTGCAACATCTGCCATTACTTCCTCCCACTTATCTGGTTGGTATCACAACTGACTGTGCAAGCTGCTCCTGTGCTTCTCCTCAATCTGCTGTTGGACTTCAGTTTCCATCAGCCCCAGTGGGCATGGTATGTGGCCAGGAACTCTTGAGAGGTGTAGTCTGAAACACTTGAGGAGCACCACACTGAGGAAGGCTGTGCTAGGAACAGGGCTGTGCGCAAGAACGTTACAAGCACAGAAAAAACGGGGAAAGGGTCAAAATGAAGGCTTCAAGTGTAATAACAGGGCAGTGGGTAGGAGACGCTGTTTCCAAAGCAAGGGGGGAAAGCAGCAGCAAACCCAGGTCAGGGATGCCTTGACAATTAGAGAGCACATGAAATGCACCCCAGCTTAGATATATACCCAGTACAACTCCATTCTGATGTCAGGAGTTAGAGAACTGCCAACCTGCCTTGCAGATCTTCTCCTGTATAAAAGCCTAGCCCTGCCCCATCTGAGGGGGCATTTTAGGGCTCAGGTATATTAAAAAAAGGTCTCCATGTGTGCATGTTACAATTAAAAGGGAAAGAACAAACAGAATTCCTGCAGTGAAAGCAAGTACTTCCAAGTCCAATTCCTTTCCCTGTTGGGCTTATAAAATGGTGAAGTGTCAATCAGAAAAGAGAACTGGATAATGCAGGATGGACTTCAGACGTTGCTTGGCGATCACAGGAGAAGCCTTCCTCACTCTGGTCCCTCCAGGTGTGTTGGACAGCAACTCTCATCATTCCCAGCTAGCATGGCCATTGTGGGGTTGGGGGAAGGCGGAATGCATCAGGCTGCAGAAGTGGGAAGCCAGCCTGCCCCAAAGGGGCCTCTTTCAGAGATGAATGCCCTCAGTGGAACCCAATATAGGCATGTCATGAGCGGAGCTGGCTAGTACTGGGCATCATACTAGACGACCTGGGAGGCCCCTTCTGACTCGCTATGTTTCTATGTCTCCTTCTGTTTGAAGCACGTGGAAAGCGGAAAGCGGAATCCTTTCCTAGGGTAAGGACTTTTCCATCTTGGGTATCAGCAAGTCTGTCTCATGCTAGAATGGATGGATCGAACTGTTCCTGGGAAGGAGACTCTCTAGGTAGCCACTGAAAAGAAGAAAGCAACAGAGATGGCAGGAAATGGATCCATGCCTGAATGTTTATTCTCATCCTTTCCTAGAGAATGGTGTCTTCTCTCACCCCCAAAGTCCACTATTTCTCCATCCCTGCAGATGCCCCAGCCTACCATGGCCTTGTTGTGCTATAGCCCATTAGATTATCTCCTCTCTTGCCCCCCAAAACAAGACCCCACCCAAACAAAGACACTCTTCTTCCCCAAAATTGTGGCTTTAACTCCCAGCCTTCTCTCCTGCCCACTCCAAGATAAGCCATACTGATGTGGTGTGCTGGGCATACCATCCCAACATTCCCTTTGACCAAGCACACGGCGCTGGAGGAGCAGCAGACATGACAGCAGATGAATGACAGAATGGAGCAAATAAAACTCGCCAATGGGACTGCGCTGAATGGACGGGGGCGGGGCTGTGGCCCCACAGTGTCAAGGCCTCTCTGTGAGCACGTGTATATTCCTAGGCACATGTACACTCGCAATGCCCTCCAGTGGAAAGGCCATCACAGGTCAGTCGCTATGGAGATTCCAGAAGAGTCAGTTCTCTAGAGGGAGGTGACCTCAGCAAGGTGGCAGGTTAATGAGGGGTGTATGCGGAGGACCTGCAAAAAGGGTCTGTGATGGCAGAAAGGGAGGCACCCCACAGATCCTCTTCTAGAGGGCCTCAACCTCAGAGCTCTGCCTTTTGTAACGGGCTGGGAGCTGCGGTTCTCAGGCTGTTTAGGGCAGCCTGCCCCAACCAGATGTCCTCCAAGTGTGTCTGAGGACACCCTGACACGGACAGCAAGGTCCAGCACCCTCTTCCACAGCCCCAGGCAAGCTGAGTATGCCTTTGACTTCCTTCCTGCCAAGGACACGCTTCTTCCCCCAGTGCAAGGAATCTGCTGTGTGTAGTGCTGGCCAAGAGCTTGGGAGGCTTTACAGGGGCTTAGACAAAATCCATGATATGTGTGTGTGTGTGTGTGGGGGGGGGGGGTTGTCAATGGCTGTGATAGTTCTATATACCCTCCGGAACTGCTGGCCGTATGACTCCATGTTCCAGTTGCTGGAGAACATGGGAAAGAAGATACTGACACATTTATGTCCATCTTGTGAGCTTCCTGCCAGTTTCATAGAATAGCAGAATAGTACAGCTGGAAGGGGCCATGAAGGCCATCGAGTCCAACCCCCTGCTGTTGCAGGACACCATGTTATACCATCCCACTCGGATGGCTGCCCAGTTTCTCCAGTCTGGGAGAGCCCACCACCTCGCTAGGCAGCTCGTTCCACTGTTGTATTGCTCTGACAATGAGGAAGCTTTTCCTGATGTCCAGCCTGAATCTGGATTGTCGCAACTTGAATTGATTATTCCGTGTCCTACACTCTGGTATTAGCAAGAAGGGATCTTAACCTTCTGATTGGTCACTGTGGGAACAGTACACTGGACTAGGTAAGTCTTTGGTATGATCCAGAGTAGCTCTGTTACATTATGTTCTAAAGCTGCTTTCTCCAACCTTGTGTCTTCCAGACACGTTTGGACTACAGCACCCAGAATTTCCAGTCAATGGCCCCACTGGATAGAAATTCTGGGAGTTGTGGTCCAAATGCTTCTGAAGGCCACCAGGTTGGGGAAGGCTGTTCTAAAGAGCTCCCTGAAAAAAGAAACCTGAATATGACTGCACTACAAAGTAACATTTTGTCAGAGACTGTAAGCTTCCAGTGGAAGATTTCACAGCTATCTGCAAGCTTGAGCACACAGGCTCCCTTGGCTGGGGGGGGGGGGGGTGTCAAAAGGTCATGGAGGCCTGTTCTGGCAAAAAGGAAGGCAGCCATTTCCTCATGTTGATGTACAACAGCAACGAAATCGAGCAGCTCCTGCAGTCAGACTGCAAAAGGTCAGGGGCAACATATGCATATCCTAAGACCTTCTGGTATCAGAAGAAACTGCCTTAAAAATGAGCCAGAGAAGTTCTTAACAGAAACAGATCTATACTTGGCACAGCACAAAAGTTTCCATATGCATAAAGACAGGCCCTCACCAGCTTCGTGGATTGAAACACATGTTATGGGAGTCAAATGCACATCTTTAAAGATGTGCATATGCCTCTTTAAGACTGTTCGCACTCAGGAAAACAAAGAATTTGACATTAGCCAAAGATTCCTGCCAGTTATTGGCCTGAGGATATCTTTGCCTGGAAACGTCAGAGTCTGGTGACTACACAAGACCAGGTGTGTGCATCATGTGTGTGCAAGCCATGCACATGCGCCTGCTGGGAGGCCCTACTTCTACACACATGCTCTTCTGGTCACAGTCCTGGGTGCGCAACTATGCCACAGGATGGCCAAAGCATGTGCTTGGAGGAGCTGATCCGTGTCCTTTGTGCACAAGATGGAATGGTCAGTGTGTGCACACAGCTGCGAGCCAGAGGCACGGCAAGCACAAGCAGGAGGCACGGTGTGTGCATGCCTGCACCAGAGCATGAAGTGTGACGTGTTCTGCACATGGGGCACCTTCACCCTGCCCTTGCCGGCACACCAAACGATGCAATGGTGGTAAAATCAAAACCAAAAAATCATAAAAGAAAAGCAAGCATCGACGGGAGAATGAGAAAAGGAGACAAACCCAACTGAAACACGAGATGCGGCATGCACGGAGCTGGCTTCCTGCTTCCTTCTCCTCCTCCTCCTCCTCCTGCTCCAGTCGCCTAGTACCTTTGCCTCTGCAAGGAGCTGGGCCTCTCAGAACCAAAGGGGGCTACCGCATCGGGGGGTCGTGACCACGACACGCCGCCCATCTGCTGCAGCTTGGTGCTCAGCTCGCTGATGATGCTGGCCTTCATGGAGGACATCGGGGAGGCCTTGGACTCCTCCCAGGGCAGCGGCGATTTCTGCTGCAGCTCTTTGCCCGGCTCGGCGGCCGCCGGCTGCTGGTGGTAGGGCGGGGCGGGCGTGAGGGCAAACATGTTCTCAGTGCATGAGGAGACCGAGATGGTGGAGCTGGTGGGCGTGGCCACGGGCAGGCGGCCCGGGAAGGGCCGGGAGCGCAGCTTGGCCTGCAGCGGGCTTTTCTCGGTGCCGCCGCCGCCCCCGACCCCCCCTCCTCCGGCGCTGCCCCCGAAGGCCTGCCCGTCCAGATAGGTGATGTACGTGTCCAGGAGTTCGGTGCCTTCTCCTGACATGCTGGAGAGGGTGGACACGCTACTGATGGTCTCCAAGTGGTGGTCGCTGCTGCTCCGACTGTCCACCTCCTCAATTCCCGAGTCAGTCACGGCCTCGGGGGCCTCTGCAGCAGGGATGGCGATGGAGGAGACGACGGAGGAGAAGTTGACATGGGGGGCTTCCTTGGTTTCCGCCGTCCCCACTTGGGTCAGGGTGGCCACCTCACTGTCGTAGGATGTCAGGCTCGAAGCCGTGGAGTCCAAGGCGGCCGGGGCAGGGGGAGCCGAGGGAGGGGCCATTGCTGGGGGCAGCTCGTTAGCCGCTTTGGGAGGGGACTCCGGCTTATCAAAGCTGTTGGAGAACTCGAGGGGCGGCGGGAGCGGCTCCGTGAAGACGAACTCATCATCGACGTCGATGGATGGCGCAGGCGGGGGCAGCACCAGCAAGGGGAGCCCATTCTCTTCGGCCACACGCTCCGGGGGTGCGGCGGGCACCTCCGCCTTCCCACCCTCGTGACCCACTTCCTCCTCCTCTCCTGGGCGGCAGTTCTCCACAAAGCGCACGTGCAGCTCCAGCTTCTCGCCCTCCTCGGGCCGCTTCTCCCAAGGGACCGCTTTGGCCAAGGAGGGGGGCTGCTGCTCCGGGGAGGGATGCCGGGGGCTCTCCGGTTCCTTCCGGGGCGAGGCGGGCCGCTGCTGGTGGTGGTGGTGATGCTGCTGATCCGGCGTCCCCCAGAGGCGCAGGATGGAGCTGCCGGGAGATTCGGGGGGTTTTGGAGCCTCCCCAAACCGGGGTGAGGAGGGGCGAGAGTGCCGGTCTTCTCGGCTCTCCTGCTGTGACTGGGACTCCTTTAAGGCCCGCTCACGAGCCACCAAAGCCAGCCCCAGGGGGGACCCTGGGTCTAAAATCTTGCCTGTCAGTGGGTGAATGAGAGGCGCTGAATGGGACTGGAGCTGTGGCAGGAAACTGGAGCACACGGAGGTGAAGGCGCTGGTGGTGCTGGCTCCGTAGGTTTTCGTGGCCCGAGACGGGAGGTAACCGGATCCGCCCACACCCCCGGCACCGCCCCCAGCAAAGCCAGATGCCATGTTGAGCTGGATGTACGGCTCGCTGGAGAACATGCCTTCATCGATGGACTTGGAGTGGCGGAGGCGGGGCATGGGCGCCTGCTGGGAGTCGTCATCCGGCTGCTCCGTGGAGAGGAAGAGCGCGGACTTGCGGCGGGCCTCGCTGTACCACTCGCGGTCTCGCCGGGCTGCCCCCACCAGGGCGGCCCCAAACTGGCTGGTGAAATCCATGCTGTTGTGCAGCTGGAGCGAGGGGACGGGCACCACTGGCTCCGGCTGGCTCTCGGCCTCCATGCTGCTTCCCTGGCTGCTGCGCCCGCTGCTGCTCGTCGAGGGGGCCTTGATGATGATGGTGGGGATCGGGATGGAGCTCTTCTCCGGCGGCGTGGACGCCACAGGCTGCGAGGAGGGCGGGGGCTGCATCTGTGGCGCCGGGGTGCTCTGCTGCTGCCGCTGCTCGTCCTCCACCTTGGTCTGCTTGACCAGCGGCCCCTTCCGGCGCATGGGCTTGGTGGGGACGTACATGGCAGTGTTGGTGGCCCGGGGGGGCAGGTTGTAGTAGCGCAGGTCAGGGGTGTGGCCCCGCCACCCGCGGGCAGTGGACCCCTCAGCTCCCTGCTCCGACTCCTGGCGATAGAGGGACATCTTGTCGCGGACGCGCGGGGGCAGCTCGTACGAGGGCTCCTGGTGCAGGGAGGCAGAATACAGCTTCGCCTCAGCACTGGGGTTGAAGGTCGAGCGAGCCGAGGGAGTGGCACGTCCCGACGCAGAGGGCGAGGTGCTGCTGTACGGGGGGTCAGGCGGGGAAGTGGTGGGAGGTGGCGGGATGTCATCCGAACCAGGGACGGACAGGCTGCGGCTGAACTTCATGGCAGGGGGGGCGAGGTAGGGCTTGTCATCCTCGGCGGCTCCTGGGGAGGGAATGGATGCTGTCATCCTTGAATGGTCCTCCCACCCCTGCTCTGTGGCCCAACCAAATGAAACCACCTTCTCTTCCTCCCCTCCACCCGCAATTCACTCCCTTTTCAGAGATTTTTATCACCCACCCTCCATGTTTAGGAAAGTCTCACCCCATAGGATACTTCTCTCCCCATTGGTGGTTATTGCCACTATGAGACGAAGAGACCATTGTGCAGAGAGCTGCTGTGGGATGACCGTGTGAGACCTGCACCATGGTCATGTCACTTGCAACTCGCTTCTTACAGAATCCGACCGGGGACAGGCAGCCCGATGCCAGACGAGTTCCACAACTTGGACGAGTTCCACAAGTCCCAGCCCGCTCCAGTGATGGTCTGGCGTTAGGAGAGTGGCAGCCCAACACCCCTGGGGGACACCATCATGCCCACTCTCCATCCTGCCCCTGCCTCCCGCTCCCCAGCACCAACTGCAGAGTCTTGTCCTACTCCCTCCGGACCCCATCTCACCAATAGATTTCTGGCGGAGCATGATGCCTGCAGGGTGACTGGTTGGTAAGTAGGCTGGGCGCTCATAAGTAGCCTGGCCAGGACGGTGCTGTTCAAAGCTGGGCTGAAAGAAAGGAAAAAGAGGGCGAGAGGGACGGGGAAGAGACCCGAAAACTGGTAAGCAAGGCAGCGGGAGCAGGTGCAGCAACTCATGCCGGTGCAGTCGTAATTGGGATAACCAGTATTCCTTTTAATGCCAACTCAGGGCCAACAGAAATGGAACCAAACGGGGCCACTGAATAGCACAAGGCCCCCAGTGCTTCCAAAGTGACATTAAAAACAAAAATCGAAGAAGACAAGCCTTCCCCACACCCCCTGTGCAGAGAGGGGGTGCTTGGTAGCCACGGAATACTGAGTGTGGGCCACTTTGCACAAGATGGCAGGCCCTTGTGGGTTAATTTCTTGTGAGGAGCTGGGGCTTGCCATGGCTTGTTGCATTCTCCACACCGAGCCAACTAGGGCTATTTGAGGGCTAAATAGATTATATACAAACCCTAAAACAGACTGTGGGCTATGTATGCATTGTTTAACCCTTCAATAATTCCTGCTGCCCCAGGTTTGGCTCATCTGTTGTTTGACTCAAGCCTTTGTGTCGGAAGAGCAGAGCAGCCTGTTTGGAAGATGCAGCTGGCCGAAACCCTAAACAGGAATACTCTTATTCGAAGGAAGAATATACTGCAACATTCTGTTGCTGTTGCTACTGGAACAAATGATTCATAGGGTACATTTTGAGTGTTTAAATTAAACATTTCATATCTCAACAGTTTCTATGACAATCCTTTAAAGTGTCTTCGTATCATTGGTTCATAATGACAATAATTAGATTTTTTAACCCTGCCTCTCCTGCAAGGAGCTCCAGAGTGTTAAAAAAGAGGAGCTGTGCAAGCCCAGGGCTTGCCTAACCAAGCAAACAGGAACTTTCCCAACCCAACACACCAGTTGCTCACACAGAGTCCTTTCACATAAAGGACTCCATCCTCCCTGACATTGTTTTCTTAATCTCTTTAGTTTATGATTAGGTCACAGATGTTCATCCCCAAAAGCCTTAGTGAAAACCAATTATATGTTTTTGCTACAGTTTGGCTATTAAAAGCACACATTTACGACCTCAAAGAGGAAAGTTCAGGAGGAAATATAATAGAAACTGTATTTAAAACAATACATTTTGTGCCAGTTTCTCTTCCTGTAAAGTCAAACTTAACATTAAAAAACACTTACTGTTTTGCATGCTCCCACACTGGACTAGTGAAATATCAAGTCTACAGAATTTTTTTAAAAAATGAAATGACTAAAATGGAAATAAGACCCCAAAATGGCATAATGTTATTACAGCCTCTCTAACCTGGGGACCTCCAGATGTGTCAGACTACAACTCCAATCACATCCAGCCATCGCCACGCTGCCTGGAAATTACGAAATTTCTAGTTCTGATCAGTCTTCCCCAGCCTTGTGGCTTCCAGACGTGTTTGAACTGCAACACCCAGAATTCTCAGTTTGGGAGTTGTGGTCCAAATGCTTCTGAAGGCCATCAGGTAGAGGAAGGCTGGTCCAGATCACCTGGAGAACCCCACAGTGAAGAAGGTAGCATTGCCCTTTGTCCCCTGCCGTCTTCCTTTTTCCTTTAAATTCACAGCCAGATGCGTCCTCCACTGAGTGGACACTCCTCTATCCTACCTCAGAGAAGTAGCTCTTGGCAGCACCCCGAGACTTCCCCAAAGAAGGAAGCCCTCCACTTCCACATCCATCTCCAACATTGATCGTTTGCTGAGCAGCTGCCAGGATTTCATCCAATTTGTCTGCAATGAGGGGAAAACAGAAAAAAGAAGCTGATCACACAATGGGCAAGATTACAGCCATCCCATTACAGTTCCCACAAACAGCACTCCCCACCTCCTCAACCCATCAGGCTCACAAAGTACTCTGCTAGGCTGGTCTACCCAAAGGCAGACAACAGAATCCAGAATTCCAAATTCCTTGCCTCCCTGTGTAGGTCTCAAGATTACACTAAGGTTAATTGACATCCTTTCATGTGGGAACTTTATTATTAGAATCCCTGCAGTCCACCAATATGTTTTAAATGTACATGAAAAGAATGAACACCCCAAATCCAGGATAACTAATCTGTGTTAAATTATCCTAAGTCTGCATTTATATATAAGGACAGCAAGTGGCTTGCAGCATTGGCCCAAGGTCATATGAACTAAGAAGATACCTTGCTGAGAATTAGATACTTGGTCTAATCTGAGGAAAACTTTTCTTTTTCAACACACCTATGGCAATACTTAAACCATCTATATTGATGGAACTGGTTTTAATTTATTAATTTTATTAATTTACTTTTTTGTTTCATTATATATATTGTGTTTTATCTTGTTTGTTTATAGTAATTTTTAACAGTATTATTTTATTATTATTGGCATTTTTATTGGAACGGCCACCCAGAGAGCATGATGCTAACAGAAGGCTTTTACACAAGTTTAATTAATCAATCAATCAATCAATCAATCAATCAATAATATTGTCTACTCTGGGTGTGTAGAACTTGTGGCCTTCCAGCTGATGGACTACAACACCCATTATGCATAATTATTTCCATTCTGGCTTGGGCTTAGGGTTGCCCCAGATTTCCCCATCCTTAGTCTACTTCAGCCCATCCCTCAAACCTGGCACCTTCCAGACATTTTGGGCTACAGTTCCCATTATTTCCAGCCACTGGCCATGTTGACTGGGAATAATAGGAGTTGCAGTGCAACATGTCTGGAAGACACCAGGCTATGAAAGACTAGTCTAAGTTATGAGCAGTATTATGAATCCGGTGTCCATCCCAGATCTCTCTTTTACCCATCTCCATGCCAGCCCTCAAGGAGGAGATGGGAAGCCAAAGTGATCACCAGCCTGTTGTCAGCAAATGAAGTCCACGTGGCCAAGTGGAGATGCAACACAGGGAATGGTCCGCCATTCAAACTGAGAAAAGACTGAGCCACAGCATCAGAGAGGCAAGATTAACACATATTTGACTGGAAAACCCCACAAAGGTGGCCAAATGAAGTAGTGAATGGGGTCTTCTCCAATTTAGTTCCTTCTAGATATCATGAACTTCCAGCTCCCATCAGACTGAGTCAGCATGCCTGATAGTCAGGAATGCTGGGAGTTGCAGTCCTGAAATGTCTAGAGGGCACAAGGTTTGGGGAAGATATGTTTAAAGCATTAATTTATTAGAGGAACCAAGAGAGAATTATGCTAGCTATATAAACAGTTGTCTTCAGAAAGGCAACAGGAAGACAAGCTCCCCGCTGGATTCTTTTGGGGTTAGGCTCACCATACCCGCATGCTCTTGCAGTGAATAATACATGGAAAACTCTATGCCACTGTAACCCAAATATTAACCAAAAAAGGGGGTGTGAAAAAGGCCAGATTCAGCCATGAAAATTAATAGCTCCAGTAGTGTTCACTCTGCTAGCCCACCATGCTTAAGGTATCCAAGAGGAGTGCTGGCTTAGGCATGTATGAGAATTCAGTTTTTGCTTGCAAAACATGCATGTGTGCCCCGTTTGAAGCTCTGAATGTGAGCGCAAGCATGTGCGAGCTGAAAATATTTGCAAACTGTTGAACAAGTGCTTGCATTTGTCTTATTCCTGGTTCCCAGTTCTATGTGCACCAACTTCCTCTATTGATTGTATCAGCCCCACTTTATTCTATGGGGGAAACGTGTTCAAATGAGGAGATTTGCACAAGCCGTTCAACTGTGGCTTGATTTAGGAATGTCCAGTTTGCAGTGAGAGGAAGTCTGGAGAATCTTGGCAATCTTGAGTATTCTTCATTCACTCATTTCCAGTCGGTCTCCAGTTATCTAATATTTTCAGCAAGCCACTTCCCCCCTCCCCAACTGATTGTCAGGGCCGCAGGGGTGTGCTTTTTACTCACTCAAAGCCATCTGATAGACAGTCCGCTTCTTATCAGTGCCCATCGCTGGCTCGTAATCTGCAGAGGCGACAGGAGGGGAGGGTAACGGGATTGCGGGGCGGAGTGGGGGTGGGACCAGTAATGGTGTGTCAGGGAGGCCCAGTTTGTGGATCTGTGCCCACGGATGTGGCTGGTGATGGTGATGGAGGGGAGCATCGGTGGGGGTGCAGAGCAGGCTTGAGCAGGAGGCGATGAGAGGTAAGCAGGTGGGCCAGTGTGCGTGGGGTGAGGAATATGTGACACTCACCTGTTTTCTTCTTCCAGGGGGAGACTGAATGGTTGGAGGGAGATAGCGAGAGGGGAAGAAATTAGCACCTCCACTTGTGTGGGGGAGAGGTAGCTCGGAAGGAAGTTCGGAACCTCCATTACGCTGTGGTACGGCCAAAATGGACTGACCAAGAGGGCGATGCAGAGGGCAGGAAGAAGTAACTGGGGGCATTAAGTCACTTATTGTTGGCCACAACTGGGGATGGATGTGGACAGGGAATCGTCTTACTTAAGAGCTGTATTCACATGCTAGCTAGGAGAGGGTCTAATCTCATTTGGTACATTTCAGGCTTTAATTAAAACATAAATAAAACCAAGCATACACACACCCATCACGAAGGCTTTTATGGGTAGAGATATAAATAAAAGGTTGCAGATGGTATTCTACCCAATCAACTGCAGTAATATAGTTAAATAATGCCCCTTGATATAGGTGGATCACTGAAAATTGATGGAATTGGGCCATGGATTGAGTGGGAAAACCTTCCTTAAGCAGCAAGATGAAACACAGTAGTGCCAAAGGGAGGGGCATAAAGCCCATGTGCCTCCATTTCTGAAAAAGTAGGAAGAGTGTCTGTGGTTAACCCAGCCAGTAGTTGCCCATTACTGCAGTGATCTGTCTGTGTGGGAAGCTCACCTTTCTCCACTGTGATAGGTCAAGGATTTGGGAGTCCCAGGCGGCAATGGGTGGACAAAAGATAGAGACAGAACGCAAATCAGGAACACACAGCCCTTACTTTTTCTATAGTAATACATCAAGTGCAGAAGCCGGCCCTTATTCAGGACTATAAATTTGGACTGGGCCCAGATTTAGTCATACTTGGACTAGACCTACTGGAATCAATGAGATACAGGACAGTCATGTTACCTGAAGGCCTACTGATTTCAGTGGGCATAACCTACAAATGTCTTATCTGGAGCCAACCTTTCAAAGCTGGTAACCCGACCTGCGTTCCCAATTTGGAATGAGAATACTTAAATTGCATGAACCTAAAATGCAGTGTTATTTAATCTTCTGAATTTATTCCAACTGTAAAGTAAGGGTTGTGTGGACTTTGACCTGCCTGGGGAACACTATGTTCCTTCACTCTGACAATGAAACTGGACCAAGAAAGAAAAGAACATTCAAAATAGGGAATATTCCTATCTGCATTGTCTTCGCCTGCAAAATGTTGTAGTTTTCAGAATGATTTTGGAGGCTCCTTACTGAAAAAATTAGCCAAGGGAGCTTTATACAAGTGCAGTCTATATTTTGTTATTTTCCCTTGTATTGGTTCAGCACTTTATCTAAAATGAACTGTTGCTCTGAAAAAGGATGCATGAGCTGGAATGATTCCACTCCAACAGACAATACTGTTACCCTACCTGCCATTCCTGTAATTGAAGTGCACAACCTGGGTGTCCTCTACTTCAGCTGAATTAAATCGGAATTTCCTCTGCTTTAGGGAGCAAAACCTGGGAAAGCCATCACCCACACTGTTGTCTTGTTGGTGCCAGGTTAAGAATATAAAAAGAGTCACGCTGGAGCAGACCAAGGGTCTACGGAATCCAGTATTCTGGGCACAAAGCTGTCCCCAGAAAACCTACACACAGGACAAAGTACAGCAGCACCCTCATGCCCAATTTCCCCAGCACCTGGTGTACACAAGATATACTGCCTCTGCTATTGGATGCAGCATACAGTCATCAGGACTAATAGCCATTAATATGCTTTATCATCCATGAATTCCTCTACTCCTCCTTTAAAGCTGTTCAAATTGGTGGCCATCACTACATTTTGTAGAAGTCTAACCGTGCGCTCCATGATGAAGTAATTCACTGTGTGTGTCCCAAATCTCTTCTCAATAAGGAGACTGAATCTCTTCCCAGAGAGCCTTTTGGCTATTGGGTGGTACAAGAACGAAACAAATCAACTTCCTTCAGTTTTACTATTAGCAGAGAAAAATGTCTCCTTATCCACACCATGCATAATCTGGTAAATTCTATCATGTTTTCCCTCACACCCCCGTTGCCCGAGATAAACAGTTCCAGATGTTGAAACCTTTCCCTGGAGGGGAGTTACCCCACCCCTTGATTATTTTAGTTTCTCTTATCTACACTGTAAACTTTTGCACTGTATCTACTCTTTTGTACTTATCTGCACTGTAGACTTTTTTCCAAGTCTACAATAGCTTTTTTAGGTGCAGTGACCAGAACTGTACATAGCAGAGATTTGTATAAAGGGAGTATGATATTGGCAGTTCTATTTTCAAATCCTTTCTTAACGTGGAGTCTTATCTTTTTCATAGTAGGCTGACATTGTTGTTCAGCTGTCTGACACAATCCCAAGATCTCTTTCTTTGTCTGTTACTGCTAGCGCAGATCCTATCAACTTATATTAAAGTTGGAATTTTTTTGCCCCAACATGCCTTACTTTCCCCTTTCTTACACTGAACTGCATTTGCCGTTTTGATGGCTATTCTCCCAGTTGGGAAGGATTTTGCAATACCTTTTTGTTTTAACCACCCTAAATAATTTGGTGTCATCAGCAAACTTGGTCATTCCGCTGCTCATGCCTTATTCCAGATCATGTATAAATAAGCTTAAAAAGTATTGGTCTCCATACAGAATCCTATGGGATTCTCCTCTATTCCCAGGCATGCCTTGACATATGAGGGGCTATTTAATGCATCCATCTGGTTGCTCATAATTGTTGCTGATATTTTAGTTGTTTTATGGGGTAGTTGTATTTTAATGGATAATTGTTGTAGCTGTTTTAAATCTTGTGGTTTAATTACCTTGTAAGCTACCTTGAGTCCTGGGTGTCGAGGGGAAGGTATTTAAGACACTTACTGAGAACAAAACTCAAAATTATCATTGCAGCTTTCCTGACACTGAGTGTTGTTGTCGATTCTGAATGTCTGACCCTGCCTGATTCATCCATTTGCAGGTCTTCTGCTCTATTCTAAATGAGGGCATATATCCAATATACCTGGGAGGAGAATGACAACCAGGATGGGGTGGCTCCTCCCAAAATGTTGGCAAATAAATCACAGAAAAAAACAGTTTCCAAATCAAATACAGAAACGTTCCCAAAAGCTACAGAAAGTATTAGCTGCTCAGTCAACCAGGTACACCTGTGAATGCCAACTTGTAGGTGTGTCTGTCAGCCACAATGTCCTTCCAATGCAGTGCACCCTCCCTTCCCTTCCAGCACAAGGTATCAGGAAAAATCCAGCCTGAAAAGGTTTGAGAATTCCCCACATCCCCTCGGTGTAGGAAAGGGTAAAGTGACACCGTACTTACCCATTTCCTCCAACTCAGATGTCATGGATTTGGAGCGCAGGGAGATGGCTGGAGGGGGCAGTCGTCTTGCCTGCTGAGGTGCAGCTAGGGTTAAAAACAAGAAGCAGCTCAGTGGTCTTGATTGTAGGACCAGACTCACTTCTTCTGACTCCCATCACCAGCTTTTTCCCCAACCCCCTGGGGTCTACTCCTCTATGAAACAATTCTTACGCCTCGTGCCACAGCTTTGCATGTTCTAGTGCAGGGGCTGGCAACTCTGTGGTGGGCACGGTAGCAGCCATATGGCATCCTGGTGGGGCACAATCCTGCCCCAGGAGGCTTTGTGGCCCAGCTGAACTCCATGCCGCCACTGTCATGGCCACCTCACAGCTGGATTCCCTGCATGCTACCCAACTGTTCAAGAAACTCAGAACCCATGTGCTAACCTGCTAGGGTAAGGAAGGGAAGAAGGAAAAAGAACAGTACAGAAAGCCGATGGGAGAGTTCTTAGAGTAACTTGGGAGATAATAGGCAAGATGGTTCTAGCTATTCCTTGAAGAGATTAAGAGTGCAGTGCAATGCCTGTCTAGACAGTTGAGCTCATTGGGAAATGCTGGGAGTTGCTGGACTTTTTTCTGCCAAAATATGCATTGCATTGTGCCCTGAGTCAGTCATTTGTGAAGAAGGCTTGAAATGCACTGGGCCAAATACCTTGTTCTCCCACAGTAGACCTCTGAGGTCTCTCCCTCTGATTTCCTAAGGCTATACCTGTATATACTTGGGAGCAAGGACCATTAAACTCAATGGGATTTGCTTTGAATAGGCACAGAATTGCACTGTATGCTGTTAAGTACCTCCCGGAGACAGAACTTGGGTAACTGAAACCTCTCAGCTTCCAAAAGATGACAATATACAAAGCTGCCTTGTGTCATTTGCCTATCCAGCCCAACAAAGCTACTTGATCCATTTCAATGGAGAAATCAGAGACCGAGCATCAGACTTTCTGCCTGCAAGGCATGAGCTTTGCCACTGAGTTATGGCCTGACCCAGAGGAATGACATTTTGCTTCTCAGGCCTACAAGACTCAACTCTGTCTCCAGTGATTACTGGCATTTTGTAGTGAAGGGAATAAGACACTACTCTCCATACCATGGTATGACCACTTGGAACGGTGCCACTAAGTTAGGACTTTGGGGCACAGCTCCTGGATCCCATTCAACAGAATGACAGCCCACTGTGAAGTAAAACGTATTACTATATATAGAGCACTCATCTTGTCTAAGGATTCTAAGTGCACCACTATGTAGGATACACGAAGTTTGCTTCCACTCTCAATACACCTTTGCTGTGTCATAACTCTAGTCAGTCCCATGCAGCACCTAGAACATCTCAGCATCAGAGCCTCCTCATCTGTGCTGGAGGCCATGATCCCACCCCAGTGATCTAAAAGGCTCCCCTCCCCATCCAGAGAACCAGAAGCTACATATCCCAGAATGCACTGCAGTACCTTTCTTCCTCATGGCCTCTTCCATCTCTGGGTTCCGTGTTACCATGACAACTTTCACCATCAAGTTGTTGCCGCCCTGGCGAATCATGTTGACAACCTGCCGGTGACCAACTTTCACCACGTTTTGTCCATTTACCTGGAGGAAAAGACTGATGGTTAAGCTCCTGCTGGAAGTGTGCAGAAAAAACGATGACAGCAATGTTCTTCCAAAACCTGGTGCCCCTTGCTATTTTCTCCTCCCTAACCTTAAACCTCCCATCATTGCCATGTTTTTGATATAAATTTCTGAATCCCTGTATCTAAACTCTTTGTAACATTGCTGAGGCCTCAACCCAAAGAGCACCTCTCAAGTCTTACAGAAATTCAAAGTGTTTATGTGGATGAATGTAACACAGTGTAGCGAAAATTGTTTAGCTGAAACAGTATTCTTACTTGTGATGATACTGAGAAGACTACTGCTGGCCCCTAACTTCCCGCTTGTGTCCACCGTTATGATAAATGAGGGACATGGCCTACTTTCTCTAGCTAACCATGTGCAGAAGGTGAGACCGATGTATGGATGGGGACAGGCCAAAATGACCAATGACCGAGTTAGTTCTTAAAGGTATAAAAACATTCGGAACGTTAATGGCCGATGATGGTCGCTTATGAAGGAGCTGCTTTGTTCCACTGGATGCCTGCTTCAATGAAGAGCTTTTGGGGTTTTCGAAAAGTTTGCTGGTGGTTTTTTTCTCACGAGTGGTTAGACAAATGAACCTTTAGGCCTGTCGGGGTTAAAATCCCTGACACATTTTGGTGACTCAGGCAGGACTTGTCTAACTCACCAGCTTTGGGAATATTTTAAGGAAGGCAAGCCTTCTAGAGCATGGCAAAAAGCAGCAATGTTATAGGACAAACATTATGTTTGTATCTGCTACCAAGAAAGGCTAAGAAAGCTTTTTCTTACCTTTCTCATTCGGTGTTTGAGCAGGGTTAAATTTTAAAAAATCCCTGAGCAAGGTTTAAATTTCAACTTCTGTATGACTTGACGAGTACTTTTTGGGTTGAGTCCTCAGCAATGTTACAAAGAGTTCAAACACAGGGGATCAGAAATTTCAATCATTTTGACTTGCATATGTATCCCAGGAATTAAACAGTTCAGGAGTGGACAACATGGGCTGCCTGTGTCCCATCCCTCCCCCTGGCCATTTGCATGGCTTCCTGTGACTGTAGCAACTGAGCAAGGAAACATGGCATGTCAGGAGCCTGCACCTGGCTTGCATGTAGAACTGTGCACCTGGGGTCCCCATCTCCCTGAAAACTGCTGCACCTTTTGTGGCCACTGCGAGTTTGGTGTTGAGTGTGCCCCTTGGAAGGTTCCAGGAGGAGGGTGAAACATGGGCCACCAACCCTCCTGAAGTTGTCCACCCCAATATAGTAAAGCACATCTGAGGAAACTGTAACATCCTCTTAGTAACATTATTTCTGCAGCTATCTTTGTAACACCAGCCAGGATAAAACCCAGGCTTTCCTCCCCTTTGGTCAGTTCGAGAAGCAAGCGTTAAAGAGTACTGTCATTCAGGGCATCGAAACACCTCTTAAAGCTCTTTGTTGTGACTGAAACATGTATTTATCCAGTCAATTTGCGGGTAACTGAAGTCACCCATTATTACACCACTTTCTTTGGAAGCTTTCCTGATTTTGTACTCCTTCTCAAGATCACACTGAGTGTGAGAACAACAGCATTTGTCTAGAACTAAATTAATTTTGGAGCCCTATACTGTCACCCACAGTTTTTCTAGTCTGCTCAACACCTTGCCCTCTCTGAGGCATAGAATAGCAACTTCCCCAGTACAGCCTTCCCTGTTCTTCCTATAAAGCTTATAACCAGAGATGACTGTATACCACTGGTTTTTTCCAGTCCAGCAGGTTTCTGCAATGCCGACTATGTCTAGGTTCTCCTTTAAAACCAGGCACTCCAACTCTCCCACCTTGGCTTAGGGACTTCTAACTCATAGCATTTGCACAGAAACACCTACATGTAATGGCTCTCCTCAGACGTCTCTGGCATGTACATTTTCTGCTATGGTGCTTTTGTCTCTGTGGCTTGTATCTTTCCCTTCTACATTCAGACAACTGGAAGCATTTTCAGCTCCATCCCTGAGAGATGAATCAACCCAAACTGATGCTTTCCAGCTCCTGTTGGCTTTCCCCCAGCAGTTCAGTTTAAAGGCTGTCCTGCCACCTAAAATGGTTTTTTATGATTAGCACCAGCAGTCTGGTTCCATTTTGGTTCAAACAGACCTTGTCTCTCTTGGAGAGGCTCAGCTTGTCCCAAAATGTTCCCCAGTGTGTAACAAATCTGAACTCCTCCCTATACTACTGTCTCATCCACAACCGAAGACTCCTCAGCTTTGCCTATCTAGCGGGCCCTGCGCACGGCACAGAATGTATTTTGGAGAAATCCATGGTACGTTCTACCCAGCAATCTAAATTTGCCTTTCAGGACCTCTCAGTGACACTTTCCTATGTCACCGGGACCAACATATACCATGACTACTGGCGTCACCACTATCTACAAATCACCTCTGAAGAGATTCATCTGCATCACAACCCTGTGAGGTAGGTTAGGATGAGAGTCAGTGACTGATCCAAAGTTACAGCTTGGTGGCCGAGAGGGCTCTAGAACCCAAATCTCCCAAATCCCAACCTGACATTCTATCCAGAATAGCACACTGCCACCGAACCAGCATCTGGCCAGCCACCAAGGAAGCAGAAAGCTAGAATAAACTGAACTTTATTCTCATCTGGCAATGCTCATCCTAAGCTTCCTATGCCTGTTTCTGATTGGTCAGGGAATGAAAGTGATAAATGGTAGGATGGACATAAAGTTATACAAATTCAGTTTGTGCCATGTAATCTAAATTCTACATCAAACATGAAAGAATTATTGAAACAGTACACATATACCTGCAATTAGGAAACAGTGCAGAAATGACAAACAGACTGCCTCTGAAGACTCAGAAAGTTCAGCAGGTGCAGCATGCTTCTGATATAGTCCTTCTTGGAACTAGACCAGACTTCCTTGACCTGGTGCCCTTCAGGTGTTTTGGACTACAAATCTCAGCATTCCCGGCCAGGGGCCATGCTAGCTGGGCTGATAGAAGCTGAAGTCCAAAACATGTGGAGAGCACTCGTATGGAGAAGGAAGGGCTAGCTTCACAGATCCCCAACACAGCATAAGCAAATGGTCCCCAGTGTGGTCCCATCACACCTGGATTTCTTTTTTTTTCCTTTTAAAAAATATATGCATTAGGACTTGTACAAAATGCACATAACATTCCAGCAACCACACATAAGCTTCAAAAAATCAGACCAGGTATGAAATGAATCCATTGGAAATTGGCATCTATATGCCATCTATTTGCCTACTGAAATCACTCAGTCCACAGCATTCTAAGAGATGAGTGTTTATGCCTCCAGTTTTTCGTAGCAGTTTTTTGGCTATCAAAAGGCCACAGAAAATGCATTTCCCTTTCAGTTTGTTAATTTCCACAAAGTAGGTAACATTTAAAAAGAGCACATTCATAAGTGAAAATTAAAGACTGTTCCAGGACAAAATTTATTTATGTAATAACTTTCTTGCAAAAGATGCAACAGCTGGACATTGCTAAATCCGAAGTTTAAATACACATTAGCTGGATTGTACTACCAGTAATTAGCTGAATAAAGAGAGACACTGCATTGTCCAATAGACATGAAACAATTTCTTTGCTGAACAAGACATGCCTGTGATCCACCAGTATGACAGGCCAGCACCCAAGTACTGACCTGATAATGAGCATGTTGTGGTCATGCCCACAGCAGTTTCTCAGATTTCAAATGTGCCCACAAGCTCAAAAAGTCTGGTGAAAATGTTTGATTATATTATAGCAATTATGTGTCAGCTGGATGGTAATGCATTTCTGGGCCCAATTCAATGCGCTGAGGCAGACTCCAAAAGCTTTAACTAGTTTGGCTGCAGGTATTTATTTGAAGAATTGCCCCCACCAGCTTTTCCCAACCTGGTCCCCTGAAAAATTTTCAGACTACAAAATCCATCAGCCTGAACCAACATTGGCAATAGTCAGGAATACTGTGAGTTGTTGTCCAAAGCCTTAGGGAAAGAGGGAAATCTGGTCCACATGCTTATGGCCCTCTTTGTGTGTGAAGATCCTTGCCATAGGCTGGCATGGGATAGTAGGGATAGGGTCTTCTCGGTTGTGGCCCCTCCTCTATCAAACTCTCTGCCAAGATGTGTACAGCTGACTCTCTCTGTTGCTCTGTTAAAGAGGATTCTAAAAATGTAATTGTTTTCTTTGACTCTTACAGGAAAGGGGCTTTTTAATTATTTAGGCTGCTTTTGCTCAAGTTGTTTATATTGGCTTTAATGTACAAAGATGATTTTTTTGAACTTGTTCTATTTGACATGGAATTGCATGCTTTATATTGAAAGATGCCTTGGGAAGACAACCGTCTAGAAAGGTGGCTAAGAAATGCACTAAATTAAAATGGTCAAGTTAAAAATCATCCCCTGGGGGCCACTGGGAAGGCCTTTCCTCTGGGCCGTTACCTCTATGAGGAAATCTCCCATGCGCAGACCGGCACGCCAGGCCACGCCACCTTCATCCACTGACTCCAGGTACTGTAGGGCAGGGAAAGCAGGGGTGGGTGTGAACTCCTCAATTGGGGTCTGCGCTGTAAAGAGAGAGATGTGTTAAGTGATGCTCCTGGAGCAAAGCATCTAGCAGGGCTGGGAGCTGCGGCAGGGGAGGAGGCCAGATGGGGCATCATGGATATGCTGGCATTTCTCTGATGCCTGGGCCCTAAAAAGCCATCTAAGGATTCCTCATTCCTGATTCACAGTTGGCCTCCAAAGTCATGAAAATGTTCATCAGGGCAGTGCCTCTGAGCGTGTACTAAACACTTCTCTCCCCATTACTGGTAAGAAGCCATATCCAAGCAAGCTCAGCACACGTCCCTGGGATTCGGCCATTGGGTCAAGGGGCTCCATTCAAGGTGAATGCAAGTCCTGCTCATTTTACAGCATGGCATTCACACCATCTCTCTTATCCAATGCAAGTCAAAGACCCAGAGGCATCGTGGGAAGCCAAATTTGTGACTTCGGCAGCAGCACAGGCACCCAGCATTTATGTCTATTTCCTGCCATCCGCCCTGCTTCTGACAAAGAAGAGGTGGCACCGAGGGTGGGCATGACTGGGCACCTGCTGAGGACCCACTGGACAAACCATCTCGAGTTGCTCCTGTTTTTCACCATCTCAACCTCCTTTTTTGCCTGCCCCTTGTTCTGGCTCAGACCATGTGATACTTAGAAGGAAGAGCAGCAGATGCCACTGCCGGCTTGCTCCCTGCTCTCTGCCAGCAGCGGCACTGGTGAGAGAGAGGATGAAAGGCAGGAGGCACTGGTGGCAGCAGCGGCAGTGGGATGGTAGACTCACTGGGGGAGGGGGCCCACTGGGACTAGGTGGCACCGTTCCCTTGGCTGCTTTCTTCCTTCTATTAACCCTGCCAGTGTCCACTCGCTGATCACCTTTAGATAGGGACAACCACCACAGGTTAAGTGCTAATAATCTTCATTCACCCATTTTGAGGAAGGTGAGGAAATTGGTGGGCAAGCAGTGACCGCCTGGCTTCCTTTGACAGCTAGCCCAAAATGGCTAGTGATGGGCCTAGTCTCGAAGGGTGACAATAACTCGCCCCCTCTCACCCTTGGCCCCTCTTAGCACAAAGCCAAAGCCTTCGTTGTCCTTCTTCTGCAGCAGCACCGTCTTCTCTTTAATGATGTAGTCACTACAAAGGAAAGAGACGATAGGACAGGTTATCCACATTTCAAAGGGAATTCCTGATTCAGACTTTCTCGCCTGATGTACAGAGAATAACCAAAGCATAATCCACTGCCCCCACATCACTCACACTGCCAGCACTCATGCAGGCGATTTGTGGTGTGGCAGGTTTGCACAGTTAGCAAGCCCCAGATCTGATCTCTCCTTCTCACTTGTACAAAGCTGTGATACTGCAAATGCAGCACATACTATGCACTGCAAGAACGGGACCCACTGGACAAGGAAATGCACTGCAAGGGCTCTGAAAGGGCATGCAGGCAGCACTGCAACTTTGCACGGGCTCCTTCTTTAGAGAACTTTGCACCAGCAAAGGCAAGTGCAAACCCTCCCTGCTATGCAGGCTCAGGCACTCGGAGTCCAGAAGAGCAGGCGCAAGCTCCAAGGCAGACGACATAGGCTTATGGCAACAGCAGAAGCCAGTGCGCAGGGTAAACGATTGGCAGTGCGCTGCACAATGTCCACTGCCTACAGTTTTGGCCACTTACATATCAAGACTAAGCATAAGCCTCCCACTACAAGCCTCCGTCCTTCATGGGGTTCTACCATGGCAAATCTTGTGCACAAAATGCAGGATGGCTAACACAGCAAACACGCATCAGCCACACGCACCAAATGCAGTGGCCACTGCACAGCCTTGGTTACATGCGGTGCATCAGAAATAGGGTTTGCTGCACTAGACAACCCAGTTCTGCAGCACAGAATATGCTATGCATGCTTACTGGCAACGCATCAGACTGGTTATGCAGAACTGCACAGGCGCCAGTGCCCATGCTTAGGGAGCTGCACATGCAACTACAGAGCCCAAGGCGAATACAGACTAGCACTGCACGTATCAACCAGACTACACTGCTCAGTTCCCCCACCATCAGAGCAGAAGCAGTGCCACTATGTAAGCCGTGCAAGGAGCCACTCACGCTGCCTGCAAATACAGCGATTAGGAACACTGCACAGGTCTCTGGCACTGCAAACAGACACCACCTTGCAGCGCTCCCTAAACTGCAAATGTGGATCCAGCTGCCCACAGCCAAAGCACCGCAAACATAGTAAGAATGGCATAACTTTGTCAGAACCAAACTTTTCTGCAGGCTTCACCATGCAATGGGGACTGTCAGTACCACCTTCCCCGCAAGTTCACTGTGCATAATGAATGGAGAGAGGAGAAGGCAACAGATGCAAGTGTGGGTCTGGTGATCTTACTGTTGTGTTTGCAAATCACACTGACTGCCTCTAAGGTTGCCCTGACATCAGCCTGCCAAGACCCCAAGGGGTACTGCTGCCAATATGAGTGAATTGCATCACTGATATGATGTGAGATGAATCCCACCCTACTCTTGCATTGCTCCCACCATGTTGTAGGCTCAACAAGATGTCACATACCACTGTCCTGATGCCAGGCCAATATGGCACCCACTGAGCCAAGCGCCATCCCCCAGGGACTTGATCCCCCATTTCTGGACTACAGAAAAAGGAAGGCAATCCAGGAGGCAACACATTATGACTGGCTGATGGGTGGCATTTCGTTTGTTGGGCTGCAAGTGGTCCAGCCTGCACTACCGTGTTCTTGACCGTGTAGCAAGGCAAACCCTTGGTATATCATGGACCCTACAGCCCATGTGTGAGAAAGACTTGCAAGATATACCATTCCTATTTCACACAGTTGAGCATCTTTAAAACATTCCTGGGGAACCTTTGCCCCTCCAGTTGCTGCTGAAATGCAACTAGGAGCATCCATGTGGGGTGGGACTGATGGAAATTGAAATCCCACAACCTCTGAAGGACCACACGTTTCTCCACTCCTGACATAAGCAATAAGGTCTTTGTAATGCATGCTTCACTGGTACAAAGAACGACACATGCAGGAAATACACTATGCACCAAAATGTGTGATAGTGCCACATGCTGCTAGTAATTCTTGCAGTGGGAGGTAATTTCCTATGGACAGAGCACAATCGGATAGCAGCTGTGCTAGGTGACTATGTAACACCACAGAATACCATCGCTCCCTGTGCTCATAACAGATTACTTGTGCTGTGTGTACACATGCGACCCTGTAAAGCAGAGATGAGGAACATGTGGCCTTCCAGATGTTATCAGCATTCAGCTCCCAAGGCTGATGGGCGGGACCTATGTTCCCCCATTGTTGCTGTAGGGCATCTTCAAGCTTTACATGAAGCCAGGCTGTCTCCAACATACAGCAATACTCAGAATTCCAAACATTTCCAAAGTAACTGTGGCAAAACAAAAAAGCACATAAATCCCAGCCCACACAGGTCTCTCACATTTGGAAGGCACTGGATAGAAGAGCCAGGAAGGAGTGTCATGCATCTCTGTCCTGTTAATGCCTAACCTTTCCGTGAAAGGAGAGGCAAAGCCAATGCCAAGTTACAGTGCCTTCAGAGAAGAACTCACCTGGGAGGTTCTGGTGATCTGCACAGAACCAACCAGTCAGGAAGAACAAGGGTGAAGGGGCACATGCCACCTGCTCCATGCCCCCTCTTCTGTCAGGTTGTTAGAGCACATGTGGCCCTCCAGCATTTGCTGGAGGACAACTCCCATCATTCCTGGCCATTAATCAGACTGGCTGGGGATGAGGGAGTCCAGCAGCATGTGGAAGGCCACGCTCCCTGCCCAATCTCAAAGAAGTAAACTTATCACAAGACTATGATATGACAAGAAGGTAGTTTGTTCAGTCTTGTAAGCAAGTAAAATTAGCAAATCTTTCCATTTTGGGCATACAAGCCCAGCAAACTTCAACTGATAAACCAGCTTTTTGTTTCCTGTGGAAGTCAACTACACAAAGTAAGCAAGGCCTTGGAAACATTCTGCTTTGGTTCCTAAACACCAAGACCCCAAACCCAGGTAGAACTCAATAAACCTCACACAATTGCAGTTTCCCATGCTGCAGTGTACCTGTAAAGGGATTTCGATCCTCAAACTCCTAATTAATAAGAACAAGTGGATGCCTTGTTCCATATATACAGAGATGGATTATATTCAAGAGATAACATGCATGTCCTGAAAATCTGAGTAGAAATATCAAGTTCCAAATTCAATGTTAGTATGAACATATATCAGCGAAGACAGTAACCTGTATGTTCACAAGAAATCATGCTTATATACAGATAGATGAACATGTACATGTCACATCAATTCACATGGCCCAACATGCAACTATGCATATCTTCAAAACAATACAACAGATGCAGTGAAGGAAAATAATGCTTAAAACAGGCCATACATATTTATTTATTGACAACATTTTTACCCTATCTTGTATCTGAAATTGATCTCTAGGCAACTTACAAACATATGCACAAAACTGCCTCCATGCAACAAACTATCACAAAGACCAGAAACTGTACATGTAACCTAACAGTTCAAATGTTTCAAATACCTATCCCATCACAGGTAAGTACATAGACAGCTGCACACAACGAATATATACAATACAGATAAAATGGTACATAAACACAACACACCAGCATGAAATCCTCCCCTGCACACACATGTTGCCACAAATGGCACAAAAGCATACTTGTGTGTCCAATAGAAAGAAATGTCTTTTAGCGCATCCAGAGGCATTAGCACATCGTGCTCTGCATACTTGCTCTTTAGGCTCTGAGGGTCTACTATGAAGGGTAAAACACAGTGCATTTCACAGTGCATGTCTAAAATTTACCAACACAAAAGTATGCATAGGCACATACAACACACACACACACACACAGTAAGTTTCCTTCCTAGAATTCCTTAGCCACCATAATAATGCTAGAACACAATACAACTGAGACAGCAGCATTAATCAACAGAGTAGCTGCATGCAGTGGAGACGGCACCCATGCATGCCCAGCAAGACACACACCCACAGATGTGCACACATACATTCATCCCTCTGAGGTACAGAAGCCTACACAGCCACTTTGCGACGTGCACACACACACACACAGACACGACACACATGTCGCTTCTCCCCCGCCCCAGTCTTCTCAGCAAAACTGCCATGCACACAAGCCATTCCTGCTCGTGGCGTCTCTTGCAGAGGAACCAGTCAGTCCTGCGCCCATTTGCTTAAGCAATCTTAAGACGCATACACACAACACACTCTGACCTGTATGCAGAGATGCATCTATATATATCTATAGATATAGATATGTATGTAGACACACGCACATACAGACAAGACCACACTGACGCACACCGGAACACACGCGCAAAGCCCTCTCAACAACAGACACACACCTCTCCACGAGAGGCATGTTCAATCCCCCCCAGCAGCGGGCGAGAGCGCGCAAAGGCACGCGCAGGGCGCTCACGTACTTAATCTCTCTGGCAAGCACCTCCAACCCATCACACACCGCCAGCATCGTCAGCTCCCCCCGTGGGGCTCCCACTCCCCATCCATCTACCCGAGCGGGAGCGCGCAGGCTGAATGGCCGGATGCATGGAGCGCGGGAGGGGAGGGGAGGGCACGAGCTGGGAGCCGGCAGCGAGGATGGCTGACTGAACGGCTGCATGAATGGCGGGCGCGCGGGCGTGAATGGGCTGCGGAGGGCGGGCGGCGCGAGGCGAAGGGATGAATGGGGCGCCAGCGAGGAGTGGGGGCGCGGGAGGCATGAATGGGGCCGGCTCCGAGGGGCTGGGGCAGGCGGCGGCCGTGCGCCTACCGGCTGCTGCTCCTCCTCTTCCGATCGTACCTGTAGATGTACCAGACGCTCCGGCGCCGGGGCCCCAAGGCCGGCCAGCTGGACGAGAGGGCCGGCTGTTGCTGCTGGCTCCCGCCGCCGCCGCCGCCGCCGCCGTCGTAGCGGGCCATGGCTCTGGCTTCGCCGCCGCCGCCGCCGATCCCGGGCTCCCAGCCGCCGCCGCTGCCACCGCCGCGGGGCCCAGCCACATTCTAGGGGCGCGCGGTGGGATGGGGAGGCGGGCAGGGGGCGCAGCAGCGGCAGC